CCCCCTACACCACCCCCCCCCCAAACCTTTGCTGGTTAACCATAATGTTTATTCATAACTGCTAATTTGTTGACAACTGTGAAACTTAATCTGTGTACAAATGTTTTGACATCTGTCTTCCTCACTCTGTTAGGACACCAGCTACATAGATAGCTGCTCCCTAACCTGCGGAAAGGAGGATACACTGCGGTATGACGGCATTGGCGGACTTTAGACTAAGGGGAAAGGTTATTTGGGCTGAATGCAGGTTATAATGCTTCCAGCAGAGGATTAGTGCTGAATAACTTGTATGCTTCAGCCAAAATATTATTGACCCAAAACTGCTCCTCAGTATGTACATTATGATAGTAATAATAACCAAGTTGTATTGTGACAAACTGACATGCTTGTGAAAAATTTTACATATTCATTATGAATGTTCCAATAGATCATGGCGACAGAGCACATTACAAATATACATTAAAAATCCAGAACATTCAGAAAGTGACCTGGGAGAGTTTTGGCTTTGGAGGTACTCTAGGAATCACCTTCAACAAAGCCGCACTGTCAGAGTACTGAGACTTATATCACTATCTCCGTCATTATTATCAAGTGTCATCATATAGATACTATTCCTACAGCAGATCCAGTTTTCCCTCTGGGTCTTCAGGCTTCCGGATACTGCCACAATAGCAATGAATAAAATGAAATTCCAAAATGAATCATTAATCATACCTCTTATTGAGAACAATATGTAGTCTCAAGGGAAACGGCATTTCAATGGCATTTAAGTCAAGGGAGGTGATTTTATGATTATACAATTCCTTGGTAAGACCCCACCTAGAATATTGTGTGCAGGTTTGGTCACCATACCTTAAGAAGGACATTGCTGTCTTAGAAAAGGTGCAACGGAGGGCTACGAGAATGATTCCTGGTCTTAGAGGAATGTCTTATGAGGAGAGGTTGGCTGAGCTGAATCTGTTCAGCCTCGAGCAAAGGAGATTAAGGGGGGACATGATCCAGGTATATAAGATTCTAACGGGTCTGGATGCTGTTCAGCCAAATGGCTACTTCAATATTAGTTTAAATACTAGAACTCGTGGCCATAGGTGGAAATTAGCGGGAGAACATTTTAAACTGAATTTGAGAAAGCACTTTTTACAAAGCATGTAGTTAGAGTATGGAATAGTCTTCCTGCTAGTGTAGCGGAAGCTAAAACCCTGGGTTCCTTTAAATCAGAGCTAGATAAGATTTTAACAACTCTGAGCTATTAGTTCTCCCCAAACGATCTTGATGGGCCGAATGGCCTCCTCTTGTTTGTAAATTTCTTATGTTCTTACATAACGCACTGTGTTTTTCTACTTGGATGTGTTGACAATAAAGAACTCTTGAGTCTAGAATCAACACTCCATCCATCTATCCATCCATTTCTCCATCCATCCACTTTCCATACTGCTTATCCATTCAGGAGCGTAACCAAACAACAGTAATCTAAGTCTCAGCTTTGTCCTGATCCTGATCACCTTCTAGACTAGAAGGTGAAAACATTAAAAAAAAAAAACAGACATTTCTCTTATAAAATATTTGGGCATATGAATCACGTCAAAAAGCTTAAAAAAGCTTAATTATCGATAATTATAGATAACAGACATTAATTATCCGCATGCATGTACATTTCATGGGATCACATTGGGGGATGTGTCGGTATCCAACCTCATCTGGTTAATAATGTGATACGGCACATCCCCAGCCTCCCGCGTCATCTGTGCATGGACACAAATCTGAGACCTTAACATGACAGTATCCATCACTACCACACTGCAGAGATCCCCCTAGAGAAGGCAGGCCGAGCCACATCAGCAAAGGGCCAATAGGCCTGCAGGATCACCACACCGCCCCCTCCTGCCAAGAACCAGCACACCTCCCCGGACCCGTCGCATGTTGAGACTTCAATGGCTGCCGTGACGAAGGTCACATACAGGGAAGGTCACTATTGGTCTAAATTCACACCTATAGGCTTGTCAAACATAGTTTCCTTTCCCATTTCTAACACCAAAGTAGCAGCTCTGCTGGGGGTGGCAGTGCCCCCCCCCCCACGGCAAAGGCAGCAGCCCTGACCCCATGGTGTAACGGCTGGGATGACTGCCACGCGCTAATGGTCAGTCTCAGTGCATCTCCCTAACAGTGTGGAGCGGTGAAAGGCTAGGGAAGAGTCCCCCAATCGCCCAAACAAGTGCTTTTCCAAATCACAAGCGTTCCAAAATCTGTCCAAACTTTGACAGTTCTGGGAACGGCATGGTATGTCCGTTTTCATAAAATAGCCCCTCCCTCCCAATAAAAACCAGAAATGTCTGTTAATATTCATAGTTGAAAACCAGACATGATCTGCATTGATTTTTGTTCTTATAATAGCTGGGACAGGGTTACCTGGGTCTGTAATGCAGCTTGACTCACTGGCCTTTTATAATTGTTTTTTCTTTTTTTACTGTATCTGACTCTCCCTGCCGGCCCCTGGAGGATGGGCTCCCCCTTCGAGTCTGGTCCCTCCCAAGGTTTCTTCCTTCTGGGGAGTTTTTCCTTGCCACTGTCGCCTATGGCTTACTCACTGGGGGCTTTGGGTGGGGATGCTGTAAAGCGCTTTGAGACGATGTAATGTTGTGATAATGTGCTATACAAAAATACATTCTCTTTAAGTTCTACAAATAACACAAATCCTTATGTCGCTGTTGGCCTTTTACAATTGTTTGATTGGGCCTTTCACAAGTTTGTCCTGTTATCAGTCATTAAGTTAGTAACTGATTACGCAGATAACACCGAGTCTTAGCGGTTTATGGATAACGGGGAAATGGTGAGCTTTTTAGTTTTCGCTGTGACGGAGTACAAATTTAGTTTATTCACTTCTTATCTATACACCCGGGCTAAATCCCAGTTACTTACAGTTAATTTTAAATACTAAATCCAGGGCTGTAAAGTTCATTACCGTCATAGTACCGTAACATTGTTATATGTGGTCGGTGATATTTATAAAATGTCCCTGATGTTACAGTAGCGGTCTCGTGTTTGCTGTATAATACCTCACTCAAAAAATAATACCACGATTTTGATTTTTTTTTTTTAATAAAAGCTAATTTATGTAGAGAATTTGTTAGAAGTTTCCTGCAGGTAGGCTACGTTAAAAGTAAAAAATAAACCCTAAATGACATGAAATGCATACGATATCCTGAAGAACGGGAATATCACGGCGAAATTTAACTTGTGCTTTTAGCTTAAACAAAACTGATATCCGGTTAAAAGTTAAAATCAGTAGACGGTGACATGCACTTTTTATGCACAGATTAATCACAGTATGGTAGCCTATTTGTTTAGTCTCTAGTGGTGTAAATCTATTGTTCGCATGTCTTTCTGATTGCGGCTTAGCATACATTATGTTCAAGCAGACGTATCACTGTACAATGCTATAGTAAGTAGACGCTGACCTCTAAATATGATAACCGAAATATGCATGATGTGATTCCTTTGCGCTGGAACAATGCCCTCTAGCGGCGGCCGAGCAAAGCCTTGTAGTCCCCATCGTTTCTAGAATCCAATTTGACTACAGAAAAACGGTGTTTGATTTATAATTCTGTATAGACTGCCGTTTGAAATTTTAATGTGTCATTACATTTAAATCTAATCTAATATAAATAGCGACAGTTCTGTCTATCGGGTGCTTATTAACGTAGCCTATACGGCTCCTGTTAAAAATCAGTGGAAGGTGAAAGTGTTGATTTATGTGTTCCACCGAATTAAAGTTTTATACATTGACATTTTTATAAGTCATAAGTTTTTCATAACGAGCAACCAAAGGCCTAACTAGATATAACTACTGTACTAAGTACTTATGAAAACATCTTATAAGTACGGTATATGCTAATAAATTCAGTTTACAATAATGGTATGATGAGACTTAAGGCGCACATGGAACGTAAAGTCGGCAGTATGTGGTTGGCAGAGGCGATGGGAAAAACTGTCAGTCCCTTGTAACTTGTAAAATGTCTAGAGAAACTATAGTACCCTGTTTGTTAGTAAAATGTACCAGTTCAGGCGCTACACAAAACATTTTAGCGTATCCTAAAGAAGACACCGACTATTCGAACTTGCCATTCGGTTATTAAGACTTGTTCATTAGTTTCATAAACGGGATTTTGTGGTTCGTACACAGATCATCTAGATGAAGCAAATGTTTTAGTTTATTGTAAATTTCCATATAAATTTACCGCTTCATGTTGCCCTTGTGATAAAAGACTAAAATGTTTTCTCAAGCAATACGCTCAATAATTTGCAGACACTATTCCTGTGTAGCCTACTTACACAACCTAGGCCTATTATAACCACGCAAAACCGTTTTCGTGTTATCTTTTATATTTTGCTTTGGGAGCGTTTCATCTATTGATAAATATAACGTGAAATGGAAAACGCTTGTGTTTAACAAAGTATGTCCATTTATAATATTAATTGTCTGTTTATTTTATGACCTCAAGGTTCAAGCTGCGGTTCTCTTTCATTGGGAACGGTCCTTTTAAACAAAGGCGGGATGTTAATGCCGCATAATGTGGACCTCTGAAGACGAAGTTTGATGTTTGCCCTTTATCTCATGGGAATGTTATAAATTAGGAAACACTTAAGTGGTTCAATTAAGAATAAAACGACTTCGTATTGAACCTATTATCTCTTAAGTGTGTCAGTGTGTAGCCAGATATCTGTCACTTGAGCGGTCTGTAAGCAAAGTCAAAAAATATTTAGTAAATAGAACGAGGGGAGGACTATGAAAAACATCAAAATGAAATAAGGTTAGGTATCTGTTTTTTAGTTTGCTGAAAAAAATAAAACGTATGAGATGCATCTGTGAACTGGCAGACATCGGATACATAGGTATCTTTAGGACCCTGCGGAGTCGTATCGATAGTGGCCGGCTCCTCGCGCAGGGCGAGGGGGGCAGAGAGGGGCTGTCAATCATAATGAAAGTGACATGAGTGGGCAGGACCCGCTGACACTTTGTTCCATCGGAGGGGATATTTAACTTGGGATTGAGCTCTGCTCGCAACAGACACACACGATCACACAGTGTGCCTAAGCAAAAAGGGACTCTCCGGAGCCAAAGTGTCTCAAACAGGGGTTCCTGTAACAGGGAATACTGTACTAGCTACCAAGGGGACAGAAGCTCTCCCGGGGGACTGCGACAAAAAAACTTACCGGCCAGAGACTCCTCAATTCGGATTGCCGTCTCGCCATGCACTGATGGCATAACTAGTAGTTTATTGGAAGAATTTGAAGTTATTGAAAAAGAGAAGGGTCAAAAAAGAGCTGTATCTGAGAAAAGTAAAGTTAGGTGACAGCTTGTGTCTGAAATGGACTGTGTAGAAATCAGTTTGTATTGAGAAATATTTCAAGGCAGCGCGAGACCTGTTGACTTGAAGACGTTTCATCGCTTTGAAAGACAAGTTTATTATTTGTCTCTTCGCGGAATATATGTTTTCTTTGGGAAAAAAAGAAGTGATTTTTCCCCCCTTTCATTTGGACCGAATTTTACTGTGTAGTTCAAACATGGAATGGTTATCCTAAATTGTACTGACGATTCCAAGGGAACCAATGTAAGTACCAAGAAAGACTATTCCGTAACGCAATTTCTGAAGGAAGCTGAACTTTGGGATATCGGTACTTCAAAAACGTCCAGACTAGAAGCTGCTAAACGTTAATTTTCAGCAAATGGATTTTGCTTTCATTTTTGGAATCTGTCAGTCCTGAACTCTGCATCACCACGGTAAAGATAAGCTTGACTAAGTCGTATTTAAAACTCGAAGCTGCGTTATTTTACTGATCTCGTTTTTAGAAGATTTTGGATCTATTTTTTTTCCTTCTTTCTTTCCGGGAAACACGGATCTATAGATCGCTTCATTCCAGGCGACACTCGCGCCAGCCTCTGTCATCCAGTCTAGACAATTTGTCGTGGCTTAGAGTCTCTAAGTAACCATGACGACCATCAGAAACCCAATGTGAATTTTGCAGAAAAATACTAAAGAAAGAGGCAAGAACGGGTTCGGCGAAGAAGGAGGGTTTTTCGATGTTAATATCTCTGCAGGGAGGAAATTCCCTCTATGAAAGACTTGCAATACTGAGCAACAGAAAAGTAAGAAGAATATTGCAAGTCTAGAGATCCCTAAACAGAAACCCCTTTGCTACATGACATTCAAACCCGGCATGGTCTATTAAAAGTATCGTCTTGCCGGTGCTTTAACATCGACTATTTATGAAACCCATAGGCTTCACATTTCAAAGTGAACAGTATCTGTGAAAATAACCGTGTAAATAAGTACAATCAGAAGAGAAATATGGGCTTTTCCCAGGCGCTCCTCGTCTACGTCTTCGTGTCCATCCATCTTGGTGTATCTCAGCATTTTTTCCGCCTGCGTCCTTCGCCCAGCGAGCACCTCCCGGTGCCCGATCTCAAGGAAGACCCGGACCCAGAGTATGATCCCCGGGAGCAGGACCTCGCCGAGAGAACTTTGCGAAAAAAGCTCGGCAGCAACTTCGACCCCAACTACATGTCGATCACCCATCCCTGGCTGGTGAATCTGTCCACCCCTGAGCCGCCGAAGAGGCTGCCAGGACCGATGCCCATCGAAATCAAAAAGCTGGATCTCTCCGAGACTCCATACGGAAGGCGGGTAAAAGTTGGCAAGAAGGCGCGCAGGAAATTTCTCCAGTGGCTGTGGACATACACGTACTGTCCGGTAGTGTACACCTGGAAGGACCTGGGAGTGAGGTTCTGGCCACGCTACATCAAGGAGGGCAACTGCTTCAATGAGCGCTCTTGTTCCTTCCCAGAAGGGATGTTTTGTAAGCCCGTCAAGTCAATCACCAAGACTTTCCTCAGGTGGTATTGCCAAGGATTTTTAAAACAGAAATATTGTACGTGGATACCGGTGCAATACCCAGTCATTTCGGAATGCAAGTGCTCTTGTTGAGTTTTCTATGGAAAGGGGGAGGGGAAACAGACTGGAAATACGGTTTCTATTGCACTGTTAACTTTCAAAAAAAAAAAAAAAAAAAAAAAAAACCAAGAGATGGGCTATCGTGTCATATCTGAGAGCATGGTAGCGAATCTATTTTTATATATAGCATTTTAATTAAGATACCAACATTGTACATATTTATGATTAAAAAGCAGCTATTTTTTTTAAATGAACAGGACCATATTTTATTTCAGCCCTGAAACGTGTTTTGGGGAAACGTAAGCACTTCAGAAAGAAGAGCTTTTATTTTTATGAAAAACTGAAGGTGGACATGCGTAAACGTCTCCAAGAAGTTTTCGTTTCAACAGGACATTGATGCTGACTGATCTTTCACTGCAAAATGCTGCCTAGTTTTTTTTGTATGATATTAATATTAATATTAATAATAATAATTGAAAAGTTGAGGATAAAAATATATAAAGGCGTGAACTCAGCTTTTGGAATACGTATAGTATTGTAGAAAGTTTAAACAAATCTGTACAATGTATTTATTATTTTAACGATTGTGACTATAGAACATAAGGAAAATAGAGTATACCAGTAATTATGGGAGATGTCTACTTGAATATTTCTAAAATAAAAAAACGAAACATATCAGTGTAAATGTAATTACACGTTTTAGCAATAAAGTCTATCTTTTAAACGTTACTTCTGTCAAACTAGTTGCTTAACTTGTTTGTGTTTGCCTCAAAGAGCGGGGGAGGGGGGGGGGTTGATGCTGATACTGAAGGGGCTGTTAAAATCAAGGTAAGTGTTAAAGTTTTCAGCTCGTGATGCCCGATGAACGCTGTTGCGTACACTGCAAACACAGAAACCGAGCAGTGACTCAGTTATGGTGCAGCGGATGAGGACGCATGAAATCACTGTGCCGCGTTGAATCAAGCAACATCTCTCAGTGTTTCCTGAATGCAACATCACTCAGTATATTTTACAAATGAAATAGTCACAGTGACCCATATGTTCTGATATATATACGCGCTATCCATTCCGTTACTCTGTACACAGCACAGAATGCAGAGACGATTTCATGCACTGAAAACACGGTTTGGACAAATGAAACAATGGCTAGCCTATAACGACGACGTCAGTAGACAATGTTAATTTAAAAACCGAGTGAGGGGTAGGCCTAGTCTGTAAGATGAGAAATAGGCAATTAAAATGTTATTCAAAACAAGGGCGCAACTGGTTTGCTAGAAATGGAAACATTGCATGACTTCATTCCAGCAGGGACTCTACTTCAATTGAGCTTTAATTGTTCCTTAAAAATACGTTAGTTATTTTACAGGGATCAACGTCATTTAGCGGCAGTTAAGAATTCATTTCAAGCGCATTTAATGGCATGTGCGTGTTTTAGCGATTCTGTTCCTATGGTCTGTGATCGTTATTAGTTTTGTCACTTGCTGTGTGGTTTTTATGACAGAAAAAAACTGGAGGGATTTGTTTAAGGAAAAAGGAAGCGTGCCAATCGGGGAGGGGGCGCTTTCCTCGCTGTCTGCCTCGCCTGACGATGTCTCGGGCTTTTGGACGCTCCGCGCTGACTCCCAGGCGCCGCTCAGCCGCCCCCTCTCGACTGGACAGAATGGAGCACTTGGGAAACACAGTAACCTTTTCAAGTTCAGCCTGGCGTATAACTATCAGCAGCGTGTGAAAGGAGCGCTTAGATACCCAACTGGAGAAGAACCCCTTTTTATTAGCTTATTATGTTTTATTTAATCGTATGTTTTCATTTGATCTCGGCACGCATTGCATCTTGTGTTACTGCCCTGCGTGCCTGGGGGACGACAAACTGTTAATAAACTATTTTCATGCTCCCTAGAGATCGACGTTTTATTGCAGGGTTTAGCTCACGGTGATACAGACGACCTTTGAGTGCTACTCTGTGGTCCGCTTCTAAATTGAGACCCTTAACCCGTGAAGTGCCTTTTTAAAAAATCATACCGGTTCACCCTCTTTTGATTCATCGCATCAAACAGTTGGAGCAATTTCTGTTAATCCTTTTCTTGCCAGGAATATCCAGTGAGACAGTACGCAGAAAAATAAATGCTCGAATTCCTTTCTTTCCAGACTTTAAGGATGCCAATAATGTAACCACTAAGCTAAACGTTCATGACTTCTCTGAAAAGGAACATGTTAATAATTCATATGCTACGTGAATATCTTAAACCATACTGTAGGTTTTTTTTAATAAACGAAGAGCTCTACGATGTCCTACTAGTAGTCTATAGTCTTACTGGTGCGTTTTATTTATAGATTGCAGTTTACAAGTTCGTTGATTTATCAAAGGCTTCGGCTTGCGTTTTATGTGCTGCTTAAACATGTCGACAGTGGAAATTTATGTAAAATCAAATAAAGTGATGCTAAAATGAGCAGCTATTTTGTAACCACATAGACTGATGCAAGTAGATATAGTATTAACCAGGATTAACGACTGCAGTTAATGAGAAAGAAAGTCCTCATTGAAATTCCTCACGCCATTGTGCCGTTCCGGGGGGTAGGCCTATGTCCCGCCATGGCAAGACTAGCCTCCAGTTCCGTGCACGAACGATTACTTTTTTGAAGAAAGACAAAGGCAAATATAATGCACCTGTCATTGCGGTTTGAATGCTGCATTACAGGGATGCGCTTTGAATAACGTGTGCAGTTATTCAGTGCTCAGCACTCTGATCACCATTGTACAAGTTACATTTCTTAGTGCTTTACAGATTAAGTACAAACCCAAGCTCAGTTTTTGTATCTTATGCTTTATAACACGGAACAGATTTATTGTGAGAAACTCTACGAATCGGGAAAAAAAGAAGAGACGTGTGCGTGTTCATAGTCAGGCCAATGGATTTCGTTTATTGCATAATTACGAAAGTCTTAAGTAATTTGCTGCACACTGTGTTCTTCAGGTGGAACAAATAGATCAAACGTGCGTGGTTCTGACCTAGGTTTGTAAGCGAACCGGGGCAATCTTACCCAACAAAACTGCAAAAGGTTTTTGATCTGCAATCGGGTGCGACAAGCTTTTATCCTAGTTGGAGTTATATATAAAATAAGTCTGAGCTCTAATATTCCCAGGCGAGAAAGTCGCAGTATCACTGAACGAAAACAGGTGCTTTTTTAAAAAAGTGTTAACTTCTCATTTTTTGTCGCTACCATATTTATGCGGTCAGATGAAACATCATCGAATGATTAAATTGCTTGGATACATTCAGAATACAAACAAATGTACTTTGGACTGCGATTAATTAATTGATATTACTAATACCTGTTGAAAACGGGTGAGAAGCTAATCCCCTTCAGAATGCAATTCTAATTAGGAGATAAGGAAAAATGCCATTATAGTTGGGTATTGGCATTCTGTATAATGGGCTCTATATAATCAGTGATTATCATATTGGTGGGTAACACAGTGGTGCATTTGGTAGCTTCCTACAGGTGTGGGCACAGATCAAGTTCCTGTTGTGTCCCAATGAAGGTTGCATGTGTGCCTTCCAGTTACTCAACAACCTCCAGCCCCCACTTGTGCACTCCTATCACTTAGTGTCCCGCGATGGAACAACCTTCCTTATGCTCAACGGCTCAATGGCAGCATCAGTTTGCCAACCCTGGGATATGAACCAGCAACATTCTGATCGCAGGCACAGAGTCTTAGCCTGCTGGGTTGCACACCACTCCACAGTGCTTACTGGGTGAGCTGGAGGCTTTTCAACTGTTTCCTATAGTGAAATGTATGCAAAGCGTATCAGTTCAGTTATGCTTACTGTAATACTCAGGCATTCAATTCTTTATTTACACATGATGTACGTGTTGCCTATGTGAAGACGGTTGCCACCGTTCTTACAAATCATATGCTGACAGGAAATACACCTGAATGAATGTTAACTGGTACAAACACGCACATAATATTTTCATACATAAAGAACATGCATAGAAAACCACCTACACTGGTGTTGATACAGAATGTCAAAGCAATTTTTTTTGCCAGAGGAATCAACTTGTGCCCTTCTGATTAGTTTGTGTATGGAGTTGTTCTGGCTACTTTGATCACCTGCCTCACCTGTATTTTCTTATTTCATGGGTCTTGTTCCTGTTTTTCATGTATTACTAAAAAAACGGACTTTGAAGACATTTGAAGATTGTTGAAACGGAAACGCTTTTCATCACGAGCCTGGAACCTCCACTAATTCCAGGCAGTAATTGTTTCAAAATATTCCAGCGTCAGCTTTTGTCTCTTAAGCTGTTAGTTATGTCAAGGGTGTCACTTTGGCAAATGTTTCAGCTACAGTAAACAACGGCGTTTGATATGTAATGGAGTTCAACCTCGTCCTGAGATCAAAAACACTTCAAAAACTCAAACCACATGCTCATCAGACAGGAGAGAAATCTTTGTACCCTACCAGTTAACATCCCGCAGAAGGTGTTTCTGCACTGACCTATGTGCTGATTTGGAAAATTCCGTCTTTGTTCTTCCTCTGGCTTTGACGTGCCAACTTTCAAATAAAGGGTTTTGCCACTTTTCTCCCCCCATTACTGTTGAAATTCAAGGCAAAAGCTTGAAAGAGTTTTTGTTTCGCTCCTTTCAAATTAAAAGGAGTGCATAAAGTGGCTCAGTCTGATTGGATCAAGTCGACAGATCTGTGTGTTTGAAAGAACATGCATGCCAGGGATTGGCATAATGGCCTGACGTATACATTAGCTTAATGCACTCTGTTCTTTCAGTGGCATGTCGATAGCATATCCTTGCAATCGAACAACACTTCATCCACATTTTTGCCATATGGACATCATCTCCTGCAGGATTTATTCTTTATATATCTGCCTTCCTGTGGCCCTGACTAAGAGTTCCTTGATTGGTAGATATGGTTGTTATGCAATAATACAATACAGTAAACAGTGTTACTTTTCATTTCATGCCACTTTAGATGTCTTTAAAATAATGCAGATTTGAATATTTATTGCTGAAATGCAGCATCTATGTCGCTAAACACTCCAGCCTTATTTTTAAAAGCTCGACGGTGTTTTAAAGCTCCGTCAGCCAACTCTATTAGTTAAACGAATATCTGTGATTTGCCGGTA